AAATTTTAATTCCTCAAAATATTTCTCATCAGCCGTTTAACAGAGCGAGAACATTTCAAATGTATTTTGTTATTTATTTTTAAAAAGATTATGATGTTATTATGTTGGATTTTTATTGTTAAAGTAAGTGGTAATTCCTAATAATTATGTAAGTCTTCCACATCACATAGTTACCCTCTGATGTCTTCTAATTTTCAGACACTGTAAATCATGGGCGACTGGGGATTCCTCTCCAAACTTTTGGACAAAGTGCAGTCTCACTCGACCAGCATTGGAAAGGTTTGGCTGACAGTTCTGCTGATCTTCAGAATAATGGTTCTAGGTGCCGGACTGGATAAAGTCTGGGGAGACGAACAGTCCAGAATGGTCTGCAACATCAACACTCCTGGTTGCCTGAACGCCTGTTACGACCACATCTTCCCCATATCTCACATGCGATTCTGGGTGCTCCAAATCATCTTCGTGGCCACTCCGAATCTGGTCTACCTCTTTTATGTTCTGCATGTCATCCATAGAGAAAACAAACTGAGGCAGCGTTTAGAAAATCAGGCAGAGAAGCACGGTGTCAAGCTACCGAAATACACAGACGGCAATGGGAAGGTTTATTATAAAGGGAACCTTCTCGGTTGTTATATGTTTAGCCTCATTGTGACTATTTTGTTGGAGGCTGGCTTTCTTGTAGGCCAGTATTTTTTAATTGGCCTTTTGATGCCCATGCAGCTTGACTGTAATGTAGAGCCATGTCCTAGTGTTGGTCTGCATTGTTTTACGTCCCGTCCAACTGAAAAGAGCATCTTCATTGTGTTCATGCTCATTGTGGCTTGCGTGTCTTTAGCTCTGAATATTGGAGAGATTTTTTATCTGATTGGTCGCAGGAATGTGTATAAAGCAAGGACTCGTTCGAATGCTGTGGATGAGATGCACAAATTGAGCCCCACTGAAACGTTTTGCTGAGTAAAATGCAGTGTAATATTATCATCAAATTTCACTTTGGGCAGGGGTGTCCTGAAGAGTTTAGCTCTGACCCTAATCAAACACACCTGAACAAGCTAATCAAGCTCTAAAAAAGTAAGTAAGAAAGTACTAGAAACTTTCTGGCAGGTGTGTTGAAGAAAGTTGGAGCTAAACTCAGCAGGTCACCAGACCTCCAGGACCGAGTATGGACACCACTGACTTAGGGTATCTAATTCACATATATATATATATATATATATATATATATATATATATATATATATATATAAAATGTTGTTGTTGTTTTTTTGCAGAGTAAAACCAATACAAAAGCAAGTGCACTTAATCTGACAAAACATGATTTTCAAATGATGGATCATTACAGTAAGTAGGATAATTAGATACCCTAAGTCAGTGTTGTCCAAACTAGGTCCTGGAGGTCTGGTGACCTGCTGAGTTTAGCTCCAACTTTCTTCAACACACCTGCCAGAAAGTTTCTAGTACATCTAGTTGGAGCTTGATTAGCTTGTTCAGTTGTGTTCGATTAGATCTGTCTTGTGTCTAGTCTAAGATCTAAAAATTCTTTAATCAAGAGCCATTTTCTAGACAATAAAAAATGTGTTGTCGAAAAGAAAAGAAAAAGAGTCAAAATTAAGTACGTTTTTCTTAACAACTTATGTTTTTGTGAGAATCTTGCTTAATTTTGACGAGTTTTTCCAGAAAACAAACAAATTACTTGTAAAATGCTCCTTGATTTAATATATTTTATATATTTACACAATATATATATATATATATAATGTGTAAATATATAAAATAAGTTAAATCTTGTCGAAAAGAAAAGTCAAAATGTAATAATTTTTTTTCCTTTAAAACATGTTTTTATGATAGGTTTTTCTGGAAAACAAATGACTTGTCTAAAAAATGCTTCTTAATTTAATTTATTTTAGACATTTACACAAGAAACCAGACAAAGTCTCTTAGTAAGAAAACAAACAAACAAACAAACAAACAAACAAACATTTGTAAGTTAAAGTCAAAATTATTAGCCTCCCTTTGATTTTTTTTCTTTTTAAAATATTTACCAAATAATGCTTAACAGAGCAAGGAAATTTTCACAGTATGTCTGATAATATTTTTTTCTTCTGGAGAAAGTCTTATTTGTTTTATTTTGGCTAGAATAAAAGCAGGTTTTATTTTTTTATAAACCATTTTAAGATCAAAATGATTAGCCCCTTTAAACTATATTTTTTCGATAGTCTACAGAACAAACTATCGTTATAAAATAACTTGCCTAGGTACCCTAACCTGCCTAGTTAAGCCTTTAAATGTCACTCTAAGCTTTATAGAAGTGTCCTGAAAAATATCTAGTAAAATATTGTTTACTGTCATCATGGCAAAGACAAAATAAATCAGTTATTAGAGATAAGCTATTAAAACTATTATGTTTAGGAATGTGTTGAAAAATAATCTTCTCTCCGTTAAACAGAAATTGAGAGGGAAAAAAATAAAAAAGGGGGGCTAATAATTCAGGGGGGCTAATAATTCTGACTTCAACTATATATATGTATATATCTTTTTTGCTTCATATTTATTCACTTGATTTTGCTACTGTACACTATAACCATAGTTGAACCACAGTGTTTTAGTAAATTTGTACTCATCCATCAATGTGGCAAAAAACATGGTCACTTATAAATATGACAAAAAAAAAAAAAACATATTTAACTTTTGTAAGTCCTCCTTACCCATTTGTCAGCAAGATGTTTTAATCATTTAAAATATTTACTGAATGAATAATTTTTTCAGCTACATTTTAACATTCAATTGTCACAAAATGTTATTTGAAACATTTTGAAGTAGACACTTCATGATTTATATGTATAAACGTTTGTAAATTGAAATTGATGCAGACACTAAAATGCAATTTCTTGATTGTAGTGTGTTTATTGTAGTGACTTTTGTTGTTTTATGATTTTTTAGGAAAACCCTGGAAGGTTTAAATGTAAAAAGAGCCTTACTCTATGTGTATAGGAAAAGTGGGGACAAAAGTAAGGTGGGACGAAAGTAACATTTTCTCAAAGCCCTGACAACATTTGATTTCCAGGCTGTAACTGCACATTCAGCATCCAACCCTTGATGGAGCTTATAAATATCATGTGATTTCAGGACAGCTCCAAATTTCAGTTTTTAGGTGCAAATGGTAAATTATTGTAGCTGTTCTTTTTCCTTATTACAAGTTGTGTTTCTCTTTTCATGTGTCAGACTAATGATCAATATACAAGTAATTCAGTGCAAAAACACATCCTTATGGTTGAAATGTCTGAGTTTTACAGTTTAAAAGTACATCAGATTTATATGGCAAGAGTTCCTGTGAGGACGAAAGTAACACCTATTGATGTGCTATGCTAATGGACAAAACTTATTTTTCACTTCCACATTAAAGTTTGCAGTGTTTGGATTCAGATATTTAAAAAAAATAAATACATAATGCCAATAATAAAAAAAATATTCCAAAAAAAATTTTTTTTATCTTTTACATTGTTGAATTGCTTTTGAAACATTTGATGGAGCTGAAATTTAAAATGAAAATGCTGTGTAATATTTGTTGCAAAAATAAAGGACAAAATGTTTGCAGTTGACAATAACAAGTTCATAGTCAGATATATTTAAAATAAACAAGATTAAGCTAGTAAATCCAGCAAATATTGTTGTGTTACTTGTTGTTGTGACCCACCCGTGTGTTACTTTTGTCCTTACCTATGGGGTCAAACATAACAAAGTGCAACTTTTGTTTAAAGTGAAGTTATATTGGAGTTGTTGTACATTGATACAAAATAACAGCTGATTTTGATAGAGCACACTTGTGAGTTAGTAACTACAGCAAAAATATATTTCTGCTAAAAACAATATTTTTTAATGAAAATGGTACTTTCGTCCCCGCTGTCCCCTACCATTATATCATGTTTATAATATGTTTGCATAGCTTATGCTTTGTTGGAAAATCTAATCAGGTTATGCTAGCAGAATGTAATATTGAGCACGGTTCAGAAATTTTTAGGAAATGATCTGTCAAATTGTAACGTGTGCAAAATAAATATACAAACATATTATGCTTTTATATTTGTCTAAATATTATAAAATAAAAAAGTGTATCTGGGAGGCTTGCACTGCTTTCTTTTCACCTTAGGGGGGCGTATGAATATCACAAAACATGAGTGCATTTGAAAATCTGAAGAAACAGACAATAATGCATTTTAACTCATATAGCCTAATAAACAGATGAATACAATAGTTAGTGAAGTGAAGACTATTAAGATAGTGCTAACATAAACATAACATAAACAAACAAGCAAAAGAATAAAAGTAAACAACTGGAACCCATGTGTAGGTTACAATGTGTAGGTTACTTCAAATAATGTGCTTGTCATAGTTGCTTTAAAAGTCAATAACTATTTATTTAAATTTAACTTACGTGTTTTTTTACGTGCTTTAAGCATTAAGATTCCCTTCAAAAACAATTCAACCAAAAAGAAAGGATCTACTTAATACTGCATTTTAGGCAACTTAAGACGTGATTAGCTGCATTTGACGTCACTGAAATAAAACTTGGCGTGACACGTCAGACGCCGCCATGTTTAGGTGGGTCTATTTGTGTTTGTTATCCTAAAATATGTGCATATTTTAACTGCATAAATATGATTTCAACAGAACATGAGATATAGAGTATGGAGATCTTTGGAATAACGTGATGGTGAGTATACTTGATAACACAACTGATATTGTATGCTACTTCTCTTAAAGAAATTGACCATGGTTTTACTACAGATACAACAAACAAACACGATTGTATTTAAACTTTGGTAACTGTAAATAACCGAGAATAAACCACTGATCTTAACACAATCCATAGTTTACCATATTTGTAGTAAAACCTATATGATAATCTAAAACAACATCTTTTCTAAAACCATGGCTAATGTTGTTAAGAGTTTGATTATTTGCTGAATCTTGTCCAATGTATACTGCACGTTTCTCACAACACATTTACCTGAGGAATACTTTATTATGTTTTAAGAAAGCTAAAACATAATTACACATATTTACAAATGCATTGTATATACATTTAAGAAAGTAAACAATTTAGGATTAACAGCATAATATACATATGAATGCAGAAATTAGCTTGACCTAAAAAGCAAGGCCTTCATTAGCTATCATTGCTTTCCTCCATCAGGTTAGCTTTAACCAAATTGAAAGAGAAAAATAAAAGCATTAACACTGTTACATAATGAACTATTATCACATGTTATCAGATGAGATAAATGGCAGGATATATGACAAGTCAGAAGTTAAAAATAGTTCATACAAAATAAATTACCAGAAATATCCTATAAAACAATAGTTTTGGTGCAAACGTTGTTTAAAATATCCCAGCCAACTGAACTAGCATTCTCAAGTTATGAAATATTATTGTTCCTGAATGTTTAAGATCAAAATATGTTTTACAAAAAAAGTATGATGTTTTTATGTTTTGAGAACATTTTAAAGACACCGGATAAATGTTTTATTAATTTTACTTAACTGTAAAAAAAAAAAAAAGAAGTTGACTTCTTAAATTTTTAAAGCAAAAAACCTCATGACATTTTTGAGTTTACTTAACTTTCAACCCAGTTACTGCACTTGACTCAATGTAAGTTGAGTAAACTCAAAAATGTCCTTATAAATTTTAAGTTGAATCAACTTGTTTTTACCGTGTGGAAGACAAACATTTATACACTTTTACAGACAAAGGTGCCAGGAGGAACTATTGTTTTCCCAGTGATGGAGAACATATTTTGGTTCTCCAAAGAAAATGTTTTTCTATAAAGAGTCTTTTTCATCATGGAACCGTCAATGCCAATAAGGAACGTTTATTTTAATAGTGTAACGTTAGAATTGGGTGACACAGTGGCTCAGTGGTTAGCACTGCCGCCTCACAGCAAGAAGGTTGCTGGCTCGAGTCCCGGCTGGGCCATTTGACATTTTTATGTGGAGTTTGCATGTTCTCCCTGTGTTGGAATGGTTTCCCCTGGGTGCTCTGGTTTCCCCCACAGTCCAAAGACACGCTGTATAAATGAATCGAATAAACTAAATTGGCATAGTGTATGTGTGTGAATGAGTTAATAGATGTTTGCCAGTACTGGGATGCAGCTGAAAGGGCATCCGCTGTGTAAAACATATGCTGAATAAGTTGGTGGTTCATTCCGCTGTGGCGACCCCTGATGAATAAAGGAACTAAGCCGAAAAGAAAATGAATGAATGAATGAAATAGGCCATAGTGCATGTGTGTGAATGAGTGTATGGATGTTTCTCAGTACTGGGTTGCAGCTGGAAGGGCTGTGTAAAACATGTGCTGGATAAGTTGGTGCTTCATTCCACTGTGGCAACTCCTGATAAATAAAGAGACTAAGCTAAAGGAAAATAAATGAACTTTAAAATGCTAGCTGTTAGCTGGGCATCATTTAAAAGCAAAACAAAAACTCTGCAAAACAAATTTGAATTCCCAGATCTTAGTCTCATTTAGCCACGGCCAAGCTCTAAACATCAAGCATAATAATATTTTAAACCCTTAAGATTTGCTAGACTTTGAAGTTCCTGAAATGTACACCTTGGATCCGTTTAAACCTTTATGAAATGAAGTCATCTTTGCGGCGCGGTGTCTCTTTGACCTGCGGCATATCAGGTAGAACATCTCAACCACGTTCAGAAGCAGAGAGATGCACGCCACCACCAGCATGAAGATGATGAAGATGGTCTTCTCTGTGGGACGGGACATGTAGCACTCAACTGTATGAGGGCAAGGAGACTGGGAGCATTCGATCTTCGGGATCATTATGAAACCGTAAATATAATACTGGCCAACGATAAACGCGGCCTCTAGCAAGATCTTCACAAACAGGCTGGCTAGGTAACTACCCAATAATTGGCCCTTGATTATGACTTTGCCGTAATCGTCTATATATTTCGGCTGTTTGAGGCCTTGTTTTTCAGCATGGGATTCGATCTCGTGTCGCAGTTTCTTTTCTTTGTGGAGGACATGCAGGACGTGGCCGAAGTATAGAAGTGTTGGCGTGGACACGAAGATGATTTGAAGAACCCAGAAGCGAATATGGGAGATGGGAAAGGTGTGATCGTAGCATACGTTCGTGCAACCAGGCTGTTTCGTGTTGCAGATCATTTTTGATTGTTCGTCGCTCCACACCTTTTCAGCACCAGCCCCGAGAACCATGATCCTGAAGACAAACAGGACCGTGAGCCACACCTTCCCAACCACTGTGGAGTGAGACTGCACTTTGTCCAGCAGCTTGGAGAGAAATCCCCATTCTCCCATGCTTGAGCCTGAAGTGCCTTGTCTACCTGCAAAACTGGAGGGATTGCAGTATTAGTGGTTAGTTTTTGATAATTGTGAGAGTATAGTGGAACTGTAGAGTTACTGAAGTTTGTCCTGCGCGCTTGCATTTATTATTTTTTTGTTACTTCTTTGGTTTGGTGCGTTAATCTAATCGTTACTATTATTCAAAAGAAGGTAATGATTCGCACTCAATTGCTTTGTATTGTTTTTATTTTTACTTTTTCTTACATTTTTCGGGTGATAACAGACAAACAGATGTTTCGGCACAAAGCCTCCTCTGTGTGTTATCACCCGTAAAATGTAAGAAAAAGTAAAAATAAAAACAGTACGAAGCAATTGAGTGTGAATCATTACCTTCTTTTGAGTTATAGTGGAACTGTAGCCAAAAATAAAAGCTGCATCTCAAATCGCACAATTATGCACTATTCTGCGTCATTTTGTAGTATAGTGTAAACAACAAAAAAAAAAACTCTGAAAATAATAAGTGCTCTTTAAATACCCGGATGATGCACTTATTCAACCATTAAAATGAAGTGTGGAAAGATCTACGCTTTATGCACTCAACAAGCAGAAGGGGTGGAGCTATCAGGCACTAATGTTGGGTTACTTTATAGGGGTGTCACGATTTAGATTTTTAATCGAAATTTATGCTCAATTTCGATTATCGAATCAAAAAATAGAATCGTCGATGCTGCCACGCCCCCATGTCACGTCAGCTTGGCTTGCCAAGCGGGGAAAAAAAACAGGCTTGTTGAAGTGCTTGTAAAAACTGCAGAAGCAGGAGACCCGTTGACAGAACTTAAACCCTCTCCTCTTTCAATGAAGTCGCCGGTGTGTAAGCATTTTGGATTTCCAGTGAGTTATGTTGACAACGTTCATGTTGTCGACAAAAAAAACACAGTTTTGCAAGCTCTGCTATGTACGTATTACGTACGGTTCGTCCAATAGACAACACCGGCATCGCGATCCTCCGCCCGCCCCCGTTGCAAATCCGTTTGCGAAAAGTACACACTCAGGCCCTGTTTACACTGTCTTTGTTTTTAAATGGCATTTTAGAACAACAACGATTTGACATCCACAGTGGCGTGTAGCATTTCTGAGCAGCTCTCCTTCCTCTCTACCTCTGAAAATGCACATCACGTGACCACACAGACACAGACGCACTCACAGTCATGCGCTCGAGACAGCAGGTTCAGGCAGTCAGAGGGCTGCTTCAATCTTTCACTCACTTGTACTTAGTCATTTTAGCGAACACCTCAGATACTGTTGGCTGGTTCCTGTTGGTTGTGCGTCTTTTTTACCGATGCCATTATAACGACACAGATCACTGCCTATTCACGAGTCCCGCAGAAAAAGTGATTGACAGGTGGTAATTATGTGTGTATCTTGCCTTTATTCATTTACTGTAGGATTTGTTTATGGGTAAAACAAAGACCACGCAGGTCAGGTAGTTTAAACGGTAGGTACAAATAATTAATTGGTCATTAATTAATTAATTATTCATAATCGAAAATCTAATTGAATCGTGCCTTTAGAATCGAAAATGTAATCGAATCGAGGATTTGGAGGATCGTGACACCCTTATTACTTTATTTGTTTTGGATTGTGAAATCAAAATTCTCCTACGAAAGTCATTATACCGCCCCCTGATGGTGAATGTGGTTATACTCATGGCAGGTATTATTTGATAGTTTAGCCATTTATTTAGCTAATTTGGCACCCGTCAAACATCATCAGGGAAACAGTTTGAATTTCCGCATAGTAAAAAAACATTAATGTTCCATTTGGGACGACCCTACATACATATTCGCTTGTTGTGACGTATCGGTGATGTATGAAATCCTGTTTCCGGGTCCAAGCTGCTACTCATTTGAATTGAGAGAATATTCATTTATGAGCTCTTTTTAGTCCTATCACACATTAAAGTGAATTTTATATCAAATCATGGTGTACACAACAGTCTCTGGACTTGCTGCAACACAAATATCAAAATTTTTACAATTTCTAAAAAATTACTCACTTTCTGGCCATTGGATAGTAGGCATGGATATATACATTGCGATCGCGATTTTCGAAAGTATTTGTATGAATGTTTATTTTTACCATTTGATGTGGCTCCCCATACAGGTTGATATAGGGCTTAGACCCAGAAGCCGCTTCACATGACGTCACACTTAACAAGCGGATACTATGTTGTTGAGTTTGTAAGTGCAGAAGCGCATAGTAGCGCATAGAATAGAAGCGCATTTTTGACACAGATAAAGTCTTTGTTTGCTCTTCAGCATGTCATTCTTAGACAGTATTGTTTTAGTATTGATATTTGAACATTCTTTATCTACTCAGAACTGCAGTATTAAACTTCTACTTGTAATGTAAGTCCAGACAAAAGAAGTATGTTTCTATAAAAGTAAATCCTTTTTTGTTATTCTATGATATTGTAAAATAATGCTTTAAATAACACTATATGTTGGTTTGTGTCACACACACACATACACATATATACAGTCCTCAGCAATAATGAGTACACCCAAATTTATAAATATGTGTAAATAGGATGCTTTACAATATTATATTTGTGCATATACATTAGATTAGTCAGCACTGAAGCCAAATCTGGGGCTTGTATAACAAAATAACTTATGATAACAGTCCAACATTATTACACCCAAATTTATATGTTAGGGAGAAATAATTAACCAAAAATTAAAAAAAAATTCTATATATATTTTCCTGTATTTTACATAAATTTAAATTTATAATCGTCCAATTTCTAAATATGTTTGGTGACTAAAATATAATTTTAATAAATACTGCTGTTTCATAAAACTGTTTTGTTCAAATGCATCAAATTATATTGAAAATATCAATTTTCAAAATGGGGTGTACTCATTTATGTTGAGCACTATGTATGCTGAAAACAATATCAATGAGTAATATTTAAGTATACAGAGCCAGTGCTTACTATCTGGCACAAACAATGTCATAAACAGCATTACTCATTGTGTACTCACTTTGTGTGCAAGTTTCATTCGAATCATTAGTAATATTATTAGAGAATAGTGAAATGATTATTCATGCAGAGAAATAAACGTTGCCCACAGTACCTGTGTGGACTGTGACAAAAATCCGATGTTCAAAAGATAAGAGCGTTCAAGGTGCAGTGTTCAAATCTGATTAAAACAAGACAAAATATCAGTTAAAATAAGACTTGAACTGAACATGAGTACATTTACTTGAACTTAAGCGGACAACAACAACATTGACTGCTCTCTGTATTTATATTGAACGCAAACTATTCTCTGCATTCGAGTAATTATATTTGTGTTAATGACAATGAAAAATTAGACAAGTACTCGGCAAACATATGTTTCAAACATGCTTAACAACACCGAACTATATGGATGACTGACTTTTTCAATCACTCATTCAGTTTGAAACCGTGAATGGTTAACATGTAGCAAAATCCGTCTGTATACAGTAATATAAAGACTAGATCATGATCATGAGCATTGTTCTTAAGTGTTTGGACTTTCAGCAGTGGACATTAAACCACACTGAACTGAACTAAACTGAACTTCAACTCTGAAAACTGGACTGAAGCAGTTTTAATTCATTAGAACTTCTATGTTAAGCTGCTTTGACACAATCTACTTTGTAAAAGCGCTATAGAAATAAAGATGAATTGAATATCAGATCTGGTACCTTTTCATAGCCATAAAGTAAACCTTACGGTACATATAACTAGTATATTTAACCACAAAAAACGTTCAAATATAGTATGAAAAAGGCATATCTCTACCTGTGACAACTGCGTCTGAATCCGCTGCTGATTGACTACGTTGCTCAATGATTAAATGCCATGTGTCAGGTGTAAAGATTGAACTTCGGTGCACTGGATTTCGCAATTTTTTTTTTTTTTTTTTTGGGCTGTCACATTCCTTTTGACGTCTGATAAACCATTCCATGGCCATATTTGGGATAACAGGATAAATTTGAGCACAAAGTTAAATATTAATCATTGTTAGAGAATCTTGGATAAGTACATACATGCCAGACAAAATGTCAAAATTTGTGTTCGGACACATACACTCCTGCCTAAAGATAAATAAAGCTTGGCACAGTATATCGATTTGCCATCAGAGTGCTTCATAACATTACTGGAACTTCTGAACACAATGAGCGCTATAGGAAGTAAACCCGCTGTGTTTTTAATGTTTCATTGCGAGAGAAGAGAGCAGAATAAATATTCCCTCTCCATGCACAACATGAGACGGTTTTATAACATAATGAATGCTTGAGTTTTAGTGCTGTAAGGTTTTCATCATCTGAGCTAGTTTTGTGCTGGAGTCTGTAAAAAATATAGTGATAAAAATCAGCAGCGTGGCCATTTTTGAGATATGTGAGAACAACACACATCAGTATAAAGATAATCCAAGTCTTTTAATGCAGCCTGCAGCTTAATCTGCGGGTTTTATATGATGTTTTACATGCGTTTCTTTATTTTTTTACAGTGTTCAGCATATATAAGTATACCCCTCACAAATCTCTTTTAAATTCATGTTTTAATAGGATGCTTTACAATATTACATTTGTGCATACGTTAGATTAGTCAGTAGGCATTAGACGATAATAGATTTCAAAGTATACCGCGGTTTGGAAAAGTCAAGGTTTTCAAACCGTCAAAATTGTCTGTTGTACAGTTCCTACGATACATGTAAGATTTTTTGTCATTCATTTATTTTTTGTATTTTTTAGGACAACAGAAAAGCAGAAAAAAAAAACCCAAAGATGCCATTTTAAATTGTAAAGAAATCTGTTTTATTGAAGCAAATGGAGATAGCAGAAGTCTTCATTTAAATAATTTAGCCTGACATATTTTCTATTTCAAAATATTTAAAATGTTTTTAAAATAAAATGTATTGGCTGCAACAAAATCACTTACTTTTCAGTAGGTACTGCATTTGAAAAGTGTGTTCTTTACAGTATGAATGCAAGTAGTATAACTGGAGCTCGGACGTTTATGAATGCCATTTTGTCATCATCACATGGCATACCCGCTTTACTTGCATTCATGAATACTCTAGCGGTGCATAATGGGATAGCATAGCATCGATTGGATGGATGCACACTTCGAAATCTCGCTGGATGTAGTAGGTCATCCGGTCACTTCTCGCATACTGTTTTTCGAATTCTGTGAATTCAGATATATTACTCATATACTGTTTTTAGCGTACTATATATGTAGTATGGAATGTGATTTCGAACACAGTCATTTTGCTCAAAGCTGAAAACAGTTTTTGTTTTTTACCCAGACATATTAAAAGAATATATTTTAGAGCAGTAATTACAATACTGTGAAACAGTGACATTTTTTATCCAAGGTTAACACACCGTTATATATACTGGCCCATGCCTATTAGTCAGTACTTAAGCCATTTATTAAATCAGTTTTATTTAAATGTACCAAAAGACATTGCCTATATTCACTGAGAAATTGATAAAAATATCATACAAAATATCATACAAAATATCAACAATTTCAAAATAGTGTCTACTTAATTATGCTGAGCACTGTGTATATCATATATATATATATATATATATATATATATGTTTTCTTCATGTTTTTATTTTTTAAAGAAAGTTATTCTGTTCATCATATCAACATTTATCAAATGGAAAAATAAAAGTTTTACTTTAATAAACATTTATTACTATCAATTTTAAGTAAGTTGTAGTTTCAAATTAAATTATTACTCCAGTAATTATTGCTTTTATTACTGTTACTTATTTATTACTGTTACTGTTACTTACATAATAATAATAATAATAATAATAATTATTATTATTATTATTTTCTATTAGAATGAAAGGATCATGTGATTGTGATATCTAGAGTAATAAACCAGAAAATTCATCTTTAAAATCACTGGAATAACCTATTAAATTAAATATAAGCTAAGAGTCGGTGACATTTAGCTTATTTTAAAACATTTAAAAATCCTACTGACCTCAAACATTTGACCGGTAGTGTATAATCTAATCTAATCTAATATAATATAATATAATATAATATAATATAATATAATATAATATAATATAATATAATATAATATAATATAATATAATATATAAATTTCCCAGAGATGGGTTGCATCTGGAAGGGCATCCGCTGCGTAAAAACTTGCTGGATAAGTTGGCAGTTCATTCCGCTGTGGCGACCCCGGATTAATAAAGGGACTAAGCCGACAAGAAAATAAATGAATGAATGAATAATATATAAAATCATCACCTGGTACTGCACGAAATTATATTCATTATGTGCATTTAATTAAATAAATAAATAAATAAATAAATAAATAAACATATATAAAACATATATACTTAATTGAAGACAATGTCTTGCAAGGAAAGAGTTTTAATTCATTTTTAAGTTTTATTTCAAACAAAGAAATTGTTATTGTTCTCTGAACATTACATTTACATTCAGAACACACATTGCTATAAATTTATATTTTGTAACGAGAAAAAAGACAGGCAGTGAAAATTAAGCAAAAGATGCTTACTCTTAGAGTTTGCTTACTCTTAATACATATATTTACAGGCAGTATTTACAATCATACAGCAATGAGTGTTTTTTTTTGTGCCATAGTTTATCAAAACTATCCAATTACCACATGCATTGTGCACGAAATGATCATGCAATAATTAAACACAATCCATTTGATAAGTATCATACAATAGTCAACTGACTAAATACTGAACAACGCAAAATTTAATTATAAAGATGTTTCTGAGTCAACATCTAGTGATCTTCCATCAATTGCATGTCTTCTTTCGCCCCATCCAGGCTTCCTCCAAGGCTCTGTCCGCTCTCAAACTGCTTGTTGAGTTTGTTTTGCTTCAGAGCGTCTTCAGAGTTCATCTGCCAGGAGGAAGACAAACTGGCCGGGTTTTTAGCCGTAGTAACAGTATGTGATCGTCTCTTCCGACATCCCACTCTGGTGAACAGCAGGTAAAACACCTCTATGACATTCAGTAACAGAGATACGCAGGCCACCGCTAGCATAAATATAATGAAGATGGTCTTTTCGGTGGGACGGGACATGAAACATTCAACAGTGTAAGGGCAAGGGGAACGGGAGCATGTAAACTTGGCGACCATAATAAAGCCGTATAAATAATACTGTCCAACAATGAACGCGATTTCAAGGATGATTTTAAAAAACAACTGCGTTAGATAGCTGCCGAGGAGGTTTCCTTTAATCTTGACGTGGCCTTGGCTGTCGGTGTATTTGGGTTCCTTCAACATGTGGCCATCACCAAGGATTTTTTTCTTCTCCCTAAGTTTGTTCTCATTGTGAATGACCTGCACCGCATGGCCGAGGTACACCAAAGTCGGAGTGGAGACAAATATGATCTGCAGGACCCAGAAGCGGATGTGTGAGATGGGGAACTGCCAGTCGTAGCACACGTTTTCACAACCAGGTTGCAAGGTGTTGCAAACCAAACTTGATTGTTCGTCACCCCAAACGCTCTCCGCCGCTGCTCCCAACACCAGGATCCGAAAGATGAAAAGCACGCTCATCCATATTTTGCCAACAACGGTGGAGTGAGACTGTACTTTGTCTAATAACGATGAGAGAAATCCCCAGTCTCCCATGTTTTCTGATGCTCAGATTTTTTTTTACTAAAAAATTGACATAAGAAAGAGAGGGAACACAGATTAAATACAAAGTCCACTGTAAGTTAAACTTAATCAATAAGCCTTTTAACTAGCCTTCATTAATGCCATACTCTTAATAGATTAATATACTTAATTATTAATAAGTCCTTTAAACAAGCTGAACATTTGTACTCGAATTTGACGGGAAGAAAATCTAAATTCTACTCAGATTTGACATGAAGAATAGATGATCATTTAAAAAAAAATATATATAAAAATAATGATGATGATAATAATAAAAATAACTTTAATCAATAAATTAATGTTATTAATTTAAATATTTCACATTTAATGGAGTTTAATAAAATTGTAAAGTAAGTTATTTTTTTTAAATATATGGTGCTGGTGAAAAATAAAAAGAATGTGCTATTGATGCTAAATACTACATACTGGTATTACTAGATGACAGAAAACTGTTTTTAATTGAAAACATCTCTAACTAATGGTAAAAATAATACATGCAAACATTGTTAAATTCATTCTTCACAGCTTTACTGTCTATGTCTTTAGTTTAAGGTAAACTAGAATCATTAAGATGATTAATTAGGTATTAGCAATTAAGTACTTAGCATAATTAGGATCAGATCATTATTTTTAATCATTCCTAAACACTGTTTTTACATTACAGGCAACACCTTTTTATTATAAATTAGCATTCAACCTTTAAAACAATACATGAAAGAAAAAAACACCAACAATGTTATATTGATTTCACTCTTACCTTTAGCGAGCTGCACCTATTAGAAACTAAGCCGCATACCAAGTGATCGACGAGAAAAGTTGAACCTTGATTTTTGGGCTTTACTAAGATTGCGTAATGGCTGAAAGTGGCAGACTGTCACGTTGTCAGATGGTCATGAAAAAGAGCTGGATTTGGAACGCAAGTACACAGGAGTGCCACATTAATGATTGAAAGGCTTTAACAATAGTATATACTACACTCAAGTCTCTGACCCATACAGATAGCATTACAATTCAAACAATAACAATACAACTTGGAAGAAAAGTTTTCAAAAGTTACTTCATATAATTAAAAAAAATAATAATTACCTAATATGTTCAGTAAATCTTAAGAAACTGTTTAAAAATGAAAATGTGTTTATTTTAGGACAAACAAGTGATTAATACATATTTACAGTCAAATTCGAAATTATTCATACTCTTGGGGTATGAATAATTAAATAATTTCGGTTTAAAGAGTGTATAATGTATATAATTTCAGGCTCGACTGTGTGTATATATACACTAGTTGGTGTTTCTGTGTGGAGTTTGCATGTTCTCAGAGTTTGCGAGGGTTTTTTTCTGGGTGCTCTGGTTCCCCCACAGCCCAAAGACGTGCGCTATAGGTGAATTGAATAAGCTAGGGTAGCCAAAGTGTATGTGTGAGAATGATTGTGAGTTAATGGGTTTTTCCCAGTACTGGGTAGCAGCTGGAATGGCATCCGCTGTGTAAAACCTATGCTGGATAAGTTGCGGTTCATTTCACTGTGGCAACCCCTGATTAATAAAGGGAATAAGCTGAAGGAAAATGAATGAATAATGTGTAATATAATCAAGGGCGGACTTAACCAATAAGCGAGCTAAGCAGTCGCTTAGGGCCCCCGTGTAGGCTTCTTCAGTGCCAAGAAGCCTACATTAATCATGTAGCTCTTTTATACATTTTCTTCCATATTTTGTAAGTTCGTTCTATAACTGTTAAGGTTTTAACATTATTACTTCTGTTCAAAACCGGGGGCCCCCAAGAATAGTGGAACGTTCCTTTCGTACTGCACATGAGGTGTGTGAGTGGTTCAAAGACATCGCCAGTCTGCCAGCGATCAGAGTAGAGTTAGGTAGAGTGAGAATTTAGATAAAATTTTGGGGAAAAAAAGTAGAAATAAGACAAACAATGAAACGTAGCTTTTCTGCGATCCCGCTTTCTGGCCGAAACACCTCTCAGGTGATGAGCGCTGTGAGCTTGTTAAGAGAGGGCCTGTTCAAATAAAATAACATTTCCCAGTGAAACGGCCCCCGATTCACAAACAGCTATTATTCAATTCAAATGAAAAATGGTGATTAGTTTGGAAGATTTTGTATACTTTATTTAAAATTATTTAAGTACTTTTAATATGTTTAATATGTGTTTACAAAAAAAATAATAAAATAAAAAAATCTACAGAAAAAAAATTTCTGGAAAAAAAATGAGTTGCTTAGGCCCCCAAATCACTAAGTCTGCCCCTGAATATAATAATGTAACCTACTTTATCAGGAAGAAAAATGACAGAATATTAATCAGCACAGTAGTTTGATTAAAAAAAGAAATGATTCTTTGAATGATCTTTATATAATGTTTTTATTTTATTTTTTTTTTGCTGCACATAAACTGCATTCAAATGCATTTATTTTTGTATAAATACAGAAACAGATTGAAACAGAACAGTTTACATGTCACAGTTTTGAAAATGCATTGAACCTTCACACAGAAAGTAATTTTAGACACAATAAAGAAAAAGGAAAACATCACAAATTTCAGCAATACATTATTGATCTGTTAAACAGAGAGAGGCAGCTCATCGTGTGCTTAAAGCCAGGCGGTCATGACCATGCACGAGTCACTTTGTATGACTGACTGTTTGCTTTAGTTGACCGTGTGAAAGCCTTTGTGTACAAAGGCCTGCTGATCAGATATGAACCTCTTGCATGTCAGCACTGCGACCCTCTGAAGCCAAGCTCTTGGTCGCCTCATTGCCAGGTTCCCTCCTCTGAAGCTCCAACTCGCGGTTCATCCAATTCTGTATCACCTGATCTGTATTTTTAAAGTTCTTTTTGCTCACCACAGGGGTCACCGGAGTGATGGTGTAGTCCTTTTTGCGGCTGAGACACTCGCTGATCTTCTTAGCGCAAAGATATAAGATCTCAATCACATTTAGGAGCAAGGAAATGCAAGCCACCACCAGCATAAACCAAATGAAGATGGTTTTCTCAGTGGGCCTCGACAAAAAACAGTCCACCTTGTGAGGACACGGGAAATAGCTGCAGACATATTGAGCCCTAAGAGTGAAGCCATAAAGATAGTATTGGCCCAAAATGAAACCCACCTCCAGTAGTATCTTACAAAGCAAACTCAGAATGTAGCTTCTCAGAAGACGTCCACGGATGTTGACCTTCCCGTTTTCCCGGCTGTACTTGGGAACTTTGTAGCCTTTCTTGAGGAAGAGGTTGATTTGCTCATTCTGAAGCTCTTTCTTCATCATCTCTCGCACTTTCTTTTCGGCGTGTATGACGTGGACGACGTGGCCCAGGTAGGCCAGAGTTGGCGTGGACACAGAGATGATCTGAAGCACCCAGTAGCGGACGTGCGAGATTGGGAACGCGCGGTCGTAGCAGACGTTTTCGCATCCCGGTTGCTCTGTGTTGCAGATGAAGTCGGACTGCTCATCGCCCCACACTCTCTCAGCGCCGGCTCCAAGGACTAGAATCCTGAAGACAAACAGGACGGTGAGCCAGATTTTTCCCACTACGGTGGAGTGTGTCTGGACTCTATCCAGCAGTCGTCCGAGGAAATCCCACTCGCCCATCTGTAATGTTAATTGAATTCCTGAAAAGAAAAGACATTTTTATTAATTGGATAGACTGGCAACATTTTGTACAAGCACTGTTTTAACATTAACATTGTGGATTTAACATGCAGTATGCAGTAGGTTATGTTCCATGCTGTGCATAGGAACTAAGGTTTTACCTCAAAAACTCAAAACATTGATGCTGTCATTAGCAATACGCAGTCTTTATCTGAGCTTATAATTCTGTAATAAGCACATTTTTGAACATTTACACAACACGTTTTGAACATTTACCAATATCTGAATGCTGATTTTTTACCGAAGTGCAAAATAGGATGTTTTCGAGTAGTTTTATATATACAGTTGAAGTCAAAATTATTAGCCCGGTTGAATTTCATAAAAAGTCATATTTATTTTATTTTGGCTAGAATAAAAGTTTTCAGTTTTTTTAAGGTCAATATTATTAGCCCTCTTAAGCAATATTTATTTTTGATTGTCTGTAGAACAAACCATCATTATGCAATGACTTGCCTAATAACCCTAGCTTGCTAAGTTAACATAATTATCCTAGATAAGCTTTTAAATTGCACTTTAAGCTGTATACTAGTATCTTCAAAAATATCTAGTCAGTATATCTTATGTACTGTCATCATGACAAAGATAAAAGAAATCAGTCATTAGAAATGAGTTATTAAAACTATTATTAATACTAATAATACTAAAAAAAATCTTCTCTCCGTTAAATCGAAATTGGGGAAAAATATACTGGGGGTAATAATTCATGAGAGCTAATAAGGCTAATTCTGACTTTAACTGTGTGCGTTAGACTAGATAAATCATTTTAAATCACACCAGATATTAGATAAGAAATCCACAGCAAGACATATGCACTACAAATAATAAATATTTAAATATTTTCCAAATTATGTTTAACAGAGCAAGGACATTTTTACAGTATGTCTAATAATATTTTTTCTTCTGGAGAAACTTTTATTTGTTTTATATTGGCTAGACAAAGCAAAACATCAAAGTTTTAATAAAATATATAATTCTTATATGCTAAATTAACAGTTTTTTATAAAATCTGCTTAACATTTACACATTGTACTTTTTTGCACACTTTGAATAAAGTTCAAAACAATAACATTTATTTAAAATACAATATTTACAACTTTGTGTTTTCCACTAAACAAAAGTATCTAAATATCTAAATAGCCCCAAATATAGCAGTTAAGTTGTAAATGAATAAATAAAATCAAAAATATTTTTTTGATATGCTAATGTTATTCACAATGTTCAAAAAAATCTGCTCAATATTTTTTTCAATACTTTTTTTTTTAGGACGGTTTAAATAGAAAGTTCAAATCAGTGACATTTATTTAGAATACAATATTTTATAACCTGTGTTTTCATCTAAAAAAATCTTAATGACTCCAAACATTACAGTTAAATTGTAAAGAAATAAATAAATTTGATAATTTTATTGATAAATGAAAAATAAATTCACTTAGTAAAAGTAAATTTACTAAGTGTAAGTAAAATATATATTTTTATGTTTATTAAAGAGGTCTCCTATACTCACCAAGGCAGAGTTTACTATTTATCAGAAATAAATTTAGAGTAATACATAAAAAAGCAAAAGTTAAAAGTTTACTTTTACATACTTTTTAGGATAAAAATTCACATTTATTTAAAATGCAATATTAAAACCCTTATGTTTTCCTCTAAAAAATATCTAAATGACCCCAATGACCCCATACAGTAAAATGACAAATACATTTACTTACCAAATATAAAAGCACAGAGAAGGCTCGAAAAGACTGCTCAGGGACTCAACAAAGATGTATGTGTAACAAGTTTTCGTTAAACCTTCCACTTCCTATCCTAGGAGGCAGTTTTGAACCAAAACAAAGATTGTCACATTATCATTGTGTAGACTCCAACCATTTTCAACCTTGACATCTGGAGCTGGAATATTTAGTTTGGATATGTTAAGCTGCGTTTCTCATGCATATTTATATGGCATGAATTTACTTTAGAATACAGCTGAAGTCAGAATTTTTAGCCCCCTTCAATTTTTTTTTTCTTTTTAAATATTTCCCAAATAATGTTTACCAGAGCAAGGAAATTTTCCCAGTATGTCTGATAATGTTTTTTCTTCTGTAGAAAGTCTTATTTGTTTTATTTCGGCAGGAATAAAAGCAGTTTTTTTTCTGTTATCATGGTAAATCTAAAAGAAATCAGTTAATAGAAAAGAGTTAATAAAACTATTATGCTTAGAAATGTGTTAAAAAAAATCAAATCTGCTTTCTGTTAAACAGAAATTGGGGAAAAAATAAACAAGTGGTCTAATAATTGAGGGGGCTAATAATTCTGACTTCAACTGTATATGTTTAACTATGGATTGTGCTTTACTACTGCTCTGTAATGCTAAATAATGATTTTCTTTCTGCAGGACAGTCATCTAAATAACAAAAATGATTGTTTTTATATAATGTTTTTATATAAAGTAAACAGGTAGTACAGTCCTCAGTATAGTGTTGCGTTATTAGCTTAAAAGTATTTCTAGTACAACAAAATACATAAATCAATCAAAATAGTTATTATAATAGCAAAAATTATTAACTAACATTTGACTATTTCATACTTGATTGTGAAAAAATAATTTCTGAAACCATTTTCTGAAGTATTTTTTTCTACATGGAGATTTCCATTTTAAATACACTGAAGGAGATCTATTACTAAAAAAAGTCTTGTCTTTGTTTTGTACTTTTGTTAAGGTCAACATACATGGGATTACATAAACCAAGTGTATTATGTGTTCTTGGCACTCGAGACACAACATTTGACCTTATCCGCTCATTTAGAGAGATAATACTGGCATGACAGTCAGCATGACTAGAGTTTATATGATAGAGAAAAAAGTTCCAAACATAAAAAAAATAGTCACATTTTATAATAAGATGTTGTTAATGTATATACTAACATGAGCTAGTTATGTACAGTACTTGTACAGCATTTATTAATCGTAGTTGAACATTTGCATGTATTACATGTATTAACATTCACATGCATGCTTGTTTACATTAGTTAATGCACCATAAGTTAACATGAACATGTTTGTTTTATTAATTAAATTTATGATTTAATAACATATATATATACTATTATTTATTAAATGAATTAATAATGAAATAATGTTGTAATAAATGTATTGTTCATTGTTTGTTCAAGTTGGTAAATGCATTAACTAATACAACTTTATTGTAGTGTTACCAAATAATTCAAGTTTCAAGCATGGAACTTGGGAATGATCCTGTGTATCAAAAGTTTATTTAAAAAATGCAGTCTTTATATATGCATCAAAGCTTTTTATTGATCATATCTTTATTACATGAGATACACTGCAATAATCAGACAATCAGTAGTAAAATATGTTCTGTCACTGCTGAGTACAGCCAGTACACTCAAAATACCTGAAATTTAAATAAATACCTCATTTACAAAACCCTTTCTTTTCAAAATATGAACATGACCTTTACTAAATGAATAAAGATGGAATTTAAAGTCAAAACCTATATAGTATATATAACAGTAGTGCAAAAAATATAATAGCTTAGTCATCATGATCCAACTGCTAAATGTTGTGCAATCAAATATACTGAAAATCTGAGCCATTTCACACAGAATTGATTATACAGTAGGAATGAGTTTCAACATGCTTTCCATCTCCAAATTTGGTCGAAACAACATCGTCTTTCATATAGATGTAAAACATTTCAGGTGGCCATTGTGAAAACGCGTGACCCCAGCATCCAAACCCACTCCGGCATCATCTTCACCAGTCCAAGCTAGAGACAATGCAAATGTAAACACATTAAAAAAATAAAATAAAATACTAAATACACGGTAGGTATCGAACTCAAGAGGAAACCAATTGAAGAAATACCTGCATACTGTGAGGCCAGTATCCTGTGGTTCTGTGAGAGATGCCTAAAGTTGAAAGAGCGTGGCTGGCATACACTTGTGGGCTTGGCACCAACCAGCTAGCAGGAGGAGCAGAACCCTCAGGTCTTTGAGATGCGACTCTAAAAGGCAGCAGACTCTGCACAAAGACTCCTTGATCACCATATTCATAGTGCAGGGAGCGACTGAAGTTATCGAGAAAGGCCTGTGGGGAATTGATAAACATTGCAACATTAGCAAGTAGGAATTGAAGAGGGATGACAAACCTACGAAGACGTCAAGGACGGCGCAAAGTCTAAGCCATTCACAATATATAAATATTATAATAATCTGACCACTTCATCGAATATCCGACTTTTTGAAATGTACACTATATATACTATCCTCCCTATACTCAACACTTTAAAGAGCCCGTTTAATACTTTGAAATGTGCATCTGTATTTGACGTTTGACGTAATCTTAAACTAAACACGAAGAAAGGGTGGGGCATAGTGTAGCTCCTCCCCTTTAAGAAAAAACAGCCAATAGCATTTTGTTTTCTCATTGTTTTGCCAGTAAATGTCATTGAGCTTAATCGCATCAAATGTGAAGTGTCTTAAAGGGGGCGGGGCATGTCAGATACAAGAGAGCATTTGATTGGTCACGATTTGATGAGAACCTGAATGAAGTATGAAGCGATGTGAATAAACCATTGATCTATTTAGGCGGAAGTGACTACAAGCTTAACATGTTTGTATCCATTTTATATCTTCTAAACATGAATTTTGTCACTGATTTGTCACTTGTAAATATCCTAAAAACTAACAATACTGATACTAACATGTAAAAAAAAAACGTTTTTAAATTCATGGGATCTTCAAGCGATTCACAATACATGATTATTGTAACGATCAGATCACTTCATCGAATATGTATTATACAGGGGCATAGTGTAGCTCCTCCCCTTTATAAAAAAAAAAAAAACAGCCAATAGCATTTTTTCTCATCGTTTTGCCAGTAAGTGTTTTTGAGATCAGTCGCATCAAATGTGAAGTGTCTTGACGGGGGGCAGGGCATGTCAGATACAAGAGAGCATTTGATTGGTCACGATTTCATGAGAACCTGAAGTATGAGGCGATGTGAATAAACCATTGATCTATTTAGGTGGAATTGACTACAAGCTTATATAAATTTTATATCTTCTAAACGTGAATTTTGTTACTTTTTGCCACTTATAGATAACCCAAAAAAACTAACAATACTTACACTAACATCTAAAAAACTTTATTTTAATTTTATGGGACCTTCAAGCAATTCACAATACACAATTATTGTAATGATCAGATCACTTCATCGAATATGTATTATACACAGACACCTTCTTTTTGAAATGTACACTATATATTGTAGAACTGCAGATTAACTATATGTACTGTCCTCCTTATACTCAACACCTTAACTCTTTCTGGCATTTTTCGTAAAGCTGTTTTGGAATGATAATAACTGTAAAAAGCACTATGCCAATAAACTTGAAATGATTTGAATAGAACACTATATATTGGCAGGAAAACAAGAAGACAAGTAAACACACTGACCGTAGATGCAGAAAAAGCTGCCTTTCTAGGAATCGGATGAAAGCAGTGCCCTGAGGAAATGTTGACCACTGCTCCTCTTCCCTTTTCCATCATAGCGGGCAGTGCCAGGCGGGTGACAAGGGTGGTAGCTGCTATATTTCTATTGATAGTGCCCCACAGTACAGATTCAGAGAGTTCTAGGAAGTTTTGAGAAATCTCCAGAGTCCCGTCAAAACTGTTAACAAGGAAACCGATATCTTTACTACTGATGGCATCTTTTATGGGTTTGCAGGCCGAGGGGCCTTGATTAAAGTCTGCCTCAATACAAATGGCCTCCACGCCGTAATTGTTTGAGATTAGTCTGGCAGTGTCCGACACACTGCTGAGGTCTTTGCTAATCAGGATCACACAGATGCCATGCCTGGCCAGTTCCTCTGCATATGCTTTTGCTATTGCCTCTGAAGCACCTGTTGGAATAAATTAATAAATGAAAGACACATTTTTTACATAACAGTAACATTTCTATTTTTTATGGAAGCTTGTTTCCAGCATGGAAAAAAGAAAAGCCAAATGTGACCTATGTTATAAATATTTATTTTCTGATAACTGTATCTCACAAATGCAAGGTTTGAACCAATAATTGGATAGTTCACCTAAAAATTAAGATCATCATCATCATTTACTTGTATCAATCCTTTTTGAATTTCTTCTGTCGAACACATAAAGAGATATTTAAAAAAAATGTTTGAAACCTAGCCATGCACCTTCATAGAATTTGTTTTTCCTACTATGGAAGTCAATGGTTACAGGTTGAAAGCATTCTTCAAAATATCTTTTTTTGTGTTTGACAAAAGAACGAATTTTATAAAGGATTGGAATCACTTGAGGGTGAGTAAATAGTATGGAAAATTGTTTTATGGGACGTGAACCATCACTTTAATACTTAATTCATTCCTGTAACTGCTGTTATATATTTGCTCATACATTCAACGACAGCTTGTGACATGCAGACTATAATGTTTACCATGGTACTTTGAATATTCGGTCTTCAATCACATGCAAGTATGACTTCAAAACAACATTAGCACTATTTATTTGACTGTAAACAATGTTAAGCTTTGATAGTCATTGGCTGATAATATGATTTCCCTTTTTAGAATTTGCAAAGAATCCTTTTCTGAAATTATATAATTAAGGAGAAAGTCTAAATGTGTGAATGTAGATAAGAATAACTTCAATTCTCTGGAGAAAAAAAAAGGATTATGAGAGAAAAATATTAGAATTGTGAAAACTCAAACTCAGAGGGAAAATTCTGATTAAGAATCTTCAGA